AAGTCATTCTCCGTCCAGCTTTGATCCGTTGCTGGCGATGAGCTGCGCTCCTTTGCAGGGGGAGATGCGCTCTTATTTTTTGAATTTCTAGCTTTTCTGCCCTGCTTTTTCCCCATCTTTGTGGTTTTATCTGCCTCTGGTCTTTGATGATGGTGATGTACTGATGGGGTTTTGGTGTAGGTGTCCCTCCTGTTTGATAGTTTTCCTTCTAACAGTCAGGACCCTCAGCTGTAGGTCTGTTGGAGATTGCTTGAGGTCCACTCCAGACCCTGTTTGCCTGGGTATCAGCAGCAGAGGCTGCAGAAGATAGAATATTTCTGAACAGCGAGTGTACCTGTCTGATTCTTGCTTTGGAAGCTTCCTCTCAGGGGTGTACTCCACCCTGTGAGGTGTGGGGTGTCAGACTGCCCCTAGTGGGGGATGTCTCCCAGTTAGGCTACTCAGGGGTCAGGGACCCACTTGAGCAGGGAGTCTGTCCCTTCTCAGATCTCAACCTCCGTGTTGGGAGATCCACTGCTCTCTTCAAAGCTGTCAGACAGAGTCGTTTGCATCTGCAGAGCTTTCTGTTGTTATTGTTTACTGTGCCCTGTCCCCAGAGGTGGAGTCTACAGAGACAGGCAGGTTTCCTTGAGCTGCTGTGAGCTCCACCCAGTTCGGGCTTCCCAGCAGCTTTGTTTACCTACTTAAGCCTCAGCAATGGTGGGCGCCCCTCCCCCAGCCTCGCTGCTGCCTTGCCGGTAGATCACAGACTGCTGTGCTAGATCACAGACTGCTGTGCTAGCAATGAGGGAGGCTCCGTGGGTGTGGGACCCTCCCGGCCAGGTGTGGGATATGATCTCCTGGTGTGCCTGTTTGCTTAAAGCGCAGTATTGGGGTGGGAGTTACCCGATTTTCCAAGTGTTGTGTGTCTCAGTTCCCCTGGCTAGGAAAAGGGATTCCCTTCCCCCTTGCGCTTTCCAGGTGAGGCAATGCCTCGCCCTTCTTCAGCTCTCGCTGGTCGGGCTGCAGCAGCTGACCAGCACCGATCATCTGGCACTCCCCAGTGAGATGAACCCAGTACCTCAGTTGAAAATGCAGAAATCACCGGTCTTCTGTGTCGCTCGCGCTGGGAGTTGGAGACTGGAGCTGTTCCTATTCAGCCATCTTGCTCCGCCCCAGCAAATGAATCTTTTGAAGGAGCTGCCACTTTATATGTGTTATTACAAATTATTACTGTCTTTAAATGCTGGGTTTCATTCACCCTCTGGATGTGGCAAAGGACGTGAAGTCAGATCAACTTAATGTGTAGGACTTTTACATTTATCTCTAATGTCTGGGAAGGAAAACGACATTCTACTTTATCAGATGGGCCATAATGTAAACAAATATTTTTAATATACAAGGAATATTAAAAATCATTATATGGTATTTTTCTGTTTATATTGTGGATACATGACTCATTTCAGCACAGAGACATATTTAGCTGTCTGCATACTTTAATATCAGCAGCATTCAATTAAAAAGGTATAAGGTTTCTTTACTGAGAACTAAAGCATTAAGCCATTTTGTGTAATTGTTTAATTACCACTGCACCATTTGAATTGACATGTTAATATAACTTTCCATGGAAAGGAAAATGTAATCTTTTATTTTTGTTTCTTGCCTAATGAAAGCTACTCTGTTAGATGGGCTAGTCTGGCAATTTGACTTAGGAAAAAGTAATATTGAATAAAGTTTTCATATGAACAAGGAAAAGAAACTAACTTTACTGCTCATCTCATTGGTCTGCCAAATTGGAAAGACATTTTAGGCCTGATTATCATGTTCTAATTCGCCTCTGGAGGACATTCATGGCCAACTAAGTGTTCATTAATCTATCATCTTTCTGTAACATTGATTTGTTCATTATGCTTTTAGAGTCTCAAATATAGAAACCAAGAATTGATGTGTAGTGTTAATGTGCTTACAGATGTTGCTACCACCTATCCAGATAAGAAGTCCATCTTAATGTACATCACATCACTCTTCCAAGTTTTGCCTCAACAAGTGAGCATTGAAGCCATCCAGGAAGTGGAAATGTTGCCAAGGCCACCTAAAGTGACTAAAGAAGAACATTTTCAATTACATCATCAAATGCACTATTCTCAACAGGTAAAGTGTCCAAAGGACAGGTAATATTCAAGATGTTTTCTATTTTATATGCATTTTTAGGTATTATGTGCACATATATATAAAACGAATATATATGTATATATACATGTATATATACAAAGCCTAATGTATGTATATATACAGAAAGAGAGACAGACTATGTAAACCTTTTCAGTTTTGCTTCATTGACTACAATATTCTTTTCAAACATATTTAAAAAATACTATTGATATGTACCATATCGTAGGAATATAGAGCATAGTATATTACATTTCCATTGTGTAACACACAATGAAATGAAAGGCAAACTTACATACATATTAAACTCTAAAATCTTCATCAGCTAGAACAAAGAGCTAGAGAAAGATTAAAGGGAAATATTGTTTTTAATCATTAAAAATACTTTATGGCAATATGATGTACAAAATCAGATTTTGATTATTCAGGATAACAACTTTGAAAATAGAAAGGTGGTTTAAAATATTTCAAATAAACATTAAAGAAAAACATGAAATTCTTCATTATGTAACTGTATAGAATTCACTGGGGTACTTCCTTGACATTGGCTTGTTCTTTCTCTCAACCGTGGGTAGTTTGGATGTTTTCCTGTGCTTTCTCAGGCACAAGCAATAGTGAAGAAACCTTTAGCAATATTTCTGTTGGAATGTGTGGAAAGCTTTTAGGCCAAACTCTCTCACTTTACTGAGCTAGCTCTATATTAGCTTATGAAATCTTTAGTCCTTTCCAGGGTATGGACCTGATGAATTCTGGTTTTAGTTACTTTGGATTTAGAGAAAATTGCTTTTGGATGCCTGTTTTTGCCAGATTGAAGAGCACCATCCCATATAAATATTGGAGTTGTGTTACTATGGAATCCTCATGGTTAAATAGCATGCTCATATCTTCCCAGATCATTTACTCTCCAACATGACATTAAGTGCCATAATTCTGGGAGTATACCAATTTCTAATATCATTTATATATGTTTAGTATTAAACATTAAATCTCACCGTTTCCATTTAATGTTCTGTTTTCTACCATGTTGGAAAGTAGTCCTTTCGGGTTACTTATGGTTTTTCCTCCTCCTCTCTATCCACTCCCCCAAACCCTTCTCTGCAGATCACAGTCAGTCTAGCACAGGGCTATGAGAGAACTTCTTCCCCTAAGCCTCGATTCAAGAGCTATGCCTACACACAGGCTGCTTATGTCACCACCTCTGACCCTACACGGAGCCCATTTCCTTCACAGGTCTGTCAACATTTATTCTCTGTTGTACAAACCAGAGAACTGCTTCCAAGATAATCTAACACTGCTTTTACTTGCTTGAATTTTTCAGTGCTTTTTATCTCCCCGTGAAGAGCTGTTTCATTTTTCCCAGTTTTACTGATTCCTTCATATGATTCTACTTTGTTATTGAGACTTCTCTAGGTTTACTATATGATGATTCTTCATAAATATGAATTCCCATAATAATGATTTCTACTTTCATTATGTAATAACCTCTAAGGTTCTCTTTGACAAAGGCTACTAATGGCTATAAAAAACATGAGGCTCATTAAAAGGTTTATATATGTAACTTCAAAAAGTGTGGGCAAATCTGTGAAAATTGCTAATTACACTATTTGGGGAGATTTTTCTAGATAAACATAAAGAAAATACATATACTACATGTGAATTATTTTTTATATTCATTCTAAAATATACTGTGTAAGAAAAATGCAACTGCAAGCTTCTTCATATGCTCTCCGTTAATTTTGCTAATTTAAACTTGTGTATAGCAGGCTCTGTAGTATTTATAAGAAAAAATCACACTCAAAGCAGGTCATATTCTAGGCAATGTTTCGTACTTTCTATATGAGGAAGCCTCTCTGGAGTTTTCCACTCTTGCAATATTGTATGGAATCCAACATATAAGAAATAGCCTTGTAGACGTTACAGCGTGGGAATGAAATGCGCTAAGTTTGCTAGATTTGCAAGAATTACTTTTTAACAAAAATGATTGATTTTGCTCAGTGGAGCCAATTTGAAACGTGCTAGATGATGTGATTTTTATCAAAACTACACTGTAAATGAGAGTTTAAAAATGATAGACCTGATCCTATTGGTTAAAAAATGTGTACATTTTTGGAGACTCGATTTTTTTTTAAGATAGTGGCGTGCATTTAATTAGTAATTTATTTGGTAGTTAATTGATGCATTAGCTAAAAATTCAGAACTCTGAAATAGTTACGACCTCCATCCTTGGCTAGTTTACTTGCAAAGCTCTCTTCTCACTCCCTCTCATTCTGGACCTCTTGACTCTCCATCGACTCTCTAGACTCTATTTATACCATTCCCCCCATTGAAATCACCAAGACTTAAGGAATAAGTGCCACCTCCTAAAATTAAGGAGCATACACCAAGCAAAGATAAAGGGTTTTTTTCCCCACCTCTCATTATCACTTTATTGAGCTGCATTTTCTAGGTTTTCTGCAATGCCTATTCTGGTAGTGCGTTTTCACCTCATCACCACCTCATTAAGGCATTGCTCAGGTATGACTCCTTAATGAAGTAATTACAAATGGACTTACATCTTGCTAGACTCTGCTCATTCTACCTTTGTGTAAATATTACCGAATACATTATGTCATAAATTACAGATAATTCAACAAATTCACTTACCTGTGTTATTTAAGGCATTCAAATCAGTATAATGTTTATCCTTTGGAAAAGACACAGCACAAATCACAAGAGATGAGGAATGATATATTCTGACTGTTACTAAAGAAGCATATCAGAAGATGATGTTAAATGTAGTTAGGTTTGATAAGTGTATGCCTTTATTCACACTAAACATTAATTTCAAAAGTGTCAGAAGGACTGAGCTTACACTGCCGCTATAGGCTGTACCTGCTCTACTTCAAATGAAGTCAAGACAGGCTGGATCTGATGCCATCAGAAATTTTTATTAAAGTGTGGTCTACAGAGAAAAATAAAGTCCTCTATAAGAGAGAGCCATGCTGGTGACTGTCCCCTATGGGAAAAATGTGCATGCCCCCACTCCCCAAACACATCACTCTGCTTTAACTGTTCATTTATTTATTCAACAAATAAGTATTCTTAGTCACAGAGCCAAATGGCTTTTATTCAGCACTCCTAACTTTCTACCACTGGAGAAACATTTTTCTCAGCCTCTACACTCAGCAGGTTCTTTCTCTCTGACTATTCTGTGTCTTTGATTATCTGGCTCTTTCTGCTCTTCCAACTTCTTTAGCTTGTGAACCTCATGGGAGATGTCTTGGCCTTATCTGTGTACTTGTTCTCTTAACATAATTTAATAATTAATAATTTAATCTCCTGGCCTTAATCTGTATGCAATCTGTATTCAATCTGTATGCAAATGATCATTGTATCTCTGTCTTCACCACTTCCAATCTTTCTTGAGTTATAGCCACATTTCCAATTCATTTTCAACTCTGTGTTGTGTATCTATACCTTGATATCCACTAATATCTCAAACCTAGTATGTCTCCAAGTGAAATTTATTACAGGGTTTCTTGTCAATTTTTTTATGTTATTCACAGTCCTAATAATATTCACAATTTTTTTTCACTTAATTTTGCCCATATAACAAGGCTACTCTCCTAAACTGCCTTAAAAAGATTTATGATATATTAATAATTTATGCTTTTATGCTCATTACACATGTATTTCATGTTTTCTTCAACCAAATTAAGTCACTTGTTATCCTACACAGGTGCCCCAAAATTTTCCATATTAGCTTTTATGCTTCCCTTAGCTCGGAGTGCTTTTGTCTCTGTTTTAAATAGGCCAATTTAATTTATATTTCTAGGCCTAATTAGTAAGTGGCAGAACCTGAATTCAAATTTACATTTATCCAACTCCATGCCCATCCTCATTATACTGGGGTGACACTGCACTTTCTCTACTGTGATTCTTGTATATTGGGTTACTCACACATAGAGCAGTATTCATACATTTGATTATTTAGCACTTGTTTTTTTAATCACCTACTATGTGCCAGGTACTGTTATTGGACCAAGTGACACATAAACAAACATACAAAACAATCTGTGTCTGAATTTATTCTAATTTTATTATCCTCCGAATCTCTTCCCTCTTGCCATATGTTTTTAACTCATTTAATAAATGGTAGGGCCGTGTGTGGTGGCTGACTCCTGTACTCCCAGCACTTTGGGAAGTCAAGGTGGGTGGATCACCTGAGGTCAGAGTTCGAGACCAACTGAACCAACATGGTAAAACCCCATCTCTATTAAAAATACAAAATTAGCTGGGTGTGGTGGTACACGCCTGTAATCCCAGCTATTTGGGAGGCTAAGACAGGAGAATCATTTGAACCCGGAAGGTGGAGTTTGCAGTGAGTTGATATCGTGCCATTGCATTACATCCTGGGCAACAAGAGTGAAACTCTGTCTCAAAAAAATAAATAATAAAAATAAACAAATGGTATGATATGAGCATTTTAATTTTACATCTGAGCTTTTCTGTTTCATGATCTCTAGCACAGCATATTTGGTAGCAGAATTGGAGGCCAATATTTCATCAAAGTCATTTCCCTCCTGATGGAGTAGATGTGACTTAGGAAATAATTAGAGAAACCGAGGATTATTGTGAGGTTTCTTTCTTAAGCAACTGGCCAAATATAGAGTTGCCACAAACCGAGATGGGTGAGACTGTAGAAGGAACAAGTTTGGGAGTGAACATTAGGATTTCAGTTTTAAACATATTAATCTTGAAGTGCCTATGAGGCTATGAATGCCTGTAAAGAAAGGGGATCTAAGATCACAGTTTAGAAGTCAACATGTTGATAGTATTTAAATCCATTGGCCAGGATAAGATTACCAAGGGAAAATGTATAGACAGATAAGAGGTCTCTAGATGTATATATGATGAGGCATCAGCAAAGGGGCTGAAAAGGGTGGCTAGAAAGGGGAGAGAAAAAGCTGAAAAGAAAGGAAATGATGGATGTGGTATTCTGGAATCCAGAAGAAAGTGTTTTCAGGGAAAGGAAGATGTCTAACTACATTAAATATTGCTGGTTAGTTCAAATAACTTGATGATTGAAAATTACTCAGTGAATTTAGCAAAACGTCAGTAGTGTAAGATGTCTGGGAAATCCTAATATATAGCAGTTACTACAATGGAATTACTATTCACTCTTAAAACTTGGCCATTTAGACCAATAAGTTATGTGCTCACTCTAGTTTATATCCACTTTAATAAGAACAATTTCAGTGGTCCATGCATGTGTGTGTGTTGGGAGGTGTTGCTGATTACAGTAGGTTCAAATGACAGTAAAAGTGTAAGGCTACCTGCATTGTAACACTTAAAAAATATACTGAGAGCTGAGTGCAGTGGGTCATGCCTGTAATCCTGGCACTTTGGGAGGCGGAGGCAGGCAGATCACTTGAGGCTAGGAGTTTGAGACCAGCCTGGCCAACATGGCGAAACCCTGTCTCTACTGAAAACACAAAAAGTAACTGGGTGTGGTGGCACACACCTGTAATCCCAGTTACTTGTGAAGCTGAGGCATGAGAATCAGTTGCAGTCAGGAGGCAGAGGTTGCAGTGAGCTGAGATTGGCCGCTGCACTCCAGTCTGGATGACAGGGCAAGACTCTGTCTCAAAACACTACCGTAAATAGTTGATGGCCACAGAAACAAAAACATACTTCTTTTAAATTATCCCATCCTGATAACTACTCATGTGTCTATGTATTAGTTTTCAATTTTTGATGCAACGACTACAAACTTAGTGGCCCTGAACAACGCATATTCATTATTTTACAGTTCTGTAGTTCAGATGTTTAAAACAGATCTCATTGAGCTAACATTAACATATCAGCAGGGCTGCCTTCCTTTTGGAGGCTGTAGAGGAGCATCTATTTCTATGGCTTTTCTAGCTTCTAGAGGCTGACCACATTCATTGACTCATGGCCACCTTTCAACTTCAAAGCAGACAAGGGCAAATTGAGTCTTTCTCACATGACATCACTCTGACCTATACTCTTCTGCCCCCCAACTTCTACTTTTAAGAGCCTTCATTATTACTTACTTGTTATGTGACCTTGAGAGAATTTCTTGAACTCTGAGCCTCAGTTTCCTCATGTGTATTATTGAAACTATTTCTAACTCATAGAGCTATTTAGGAGAGTTAAATCAGATGAATTACATAAAGAACATTCCATGGCATAAGCACATTGTAAGTGCTCAAAAAAAAAAAAAAAAC